TTAGGTCATAATATGATTTAAGGATTATAAGGATAAGACAAATGCAGTGGTGGTGAGATACCGTTAGCGTGGTATACGTATGATACATTTGATTCCCGTGGAGGAAAGGGAAGAGAAGCGAGTACAACGACACAAGACTCAGTTGAAACGAAAATAATAATAATAATAATATTATTAATAATAAAAATAAAATATAAAAATTATTTTGTTTAATTGACTTAAATAAATTACACGATTTTAAGCAAATATTGTTAAGGTATACAATTTAAAAAATAATAAAGATAAAACAAAAATACAAAATTATTGTAATAAAATAATAAATAAGTAGGTACCTATTATATTTAATACTCATTAGTCAGCTCTTACAATAATTCAAACTAGAAAATATTACGATTAATTTATCCTATATACATTTTATAACAGTTATTGATTTTCACCAATATTAACTACCTACTAGTTATTCGTTCAGAAATAAAGCGTATTGCTTTCAATTTTAATTTTTTTTCGTACACAAAAACACCTGACATTTATTGGAGCGTTATTCACAATCGAACGCAGTCAGTTTATTTACCTACGTGTCATCCTTGCATACTAGCGATTTACACTTAACCGAATTGCACTGGCGCCATATACAATCCGCTGCAGGTGGATTGTACAGTCTGGTATCGATTTACACCAGAGATGACACAACAAAATACTCAAACACCGCTTTTGACTTGGCAGTTTTTATACATATTATAAAAAAGCACTGGGGCATCACAGAGCTCAATACTGGTATAGATATAGATGATAAGAAACTAAAACAGCCTGCAGCTATATAGTTAAACTTCCTAATACCATCCCACCCTTACCACCGACGAGAATAAATATAAAAAAAGGTTTCTGCTACGTGACAGTATAATAAAATAATGTGCTTATACGATTTCGTATGTAATAACTAATAAGTATAACTCTATGTAGATTCAGCCGGGGGAACGTAGACATTTTTAGAGGCAATCATTTTTATCCGATGCCCGCTGTAACTTAACTTTCAGTCTACAAATACTACCCCTTATTTAAGTTATAATATGTATATAATATATATATATATATAAACGCTATAAATGAGATTTTGTTTACAACCACATCACGACTCACCACGACACGCTACAACTGCACTGCACTAGATTTATTCCATAAACATTATACAGAATACATTTTTTTATATTATATATATATCATATTATACATAGAAAATCTTCCATTTAACGAAACATTTTCAGGAGTCGTGGCTTTCGCCGTTATTTGCTCGTAAGGTCATACATTTGTCTCCGTTCAATGGAGCTGATGTTTTCATACCACGAACAACAAAACCATTTATTTCTAGGTTAAACTGTACATCACCATACCTATGTAGAGGAATAAACAAAATACTTTGAATAATGTAAACATAAAAATATCCATCAACATTCAGTATATAAATACATAAAATATACAAAACAAATTGTTTTTAAACGTTGGTAAACACTAAATTTGTTTTATAGCCTAAAATGAAAAAATAAATAAACCTAGGTTGGGATAGGTTTCCACAGTTTATTATTAAAATATTATTAGTTATTATTTATTATAAACTCAAAGGTAGTTAAATAAGAATTTATAGTAGGTAATAGTTTATACTTATACAGGAAATTACCCTGTATTTAAAATATATGATAATACAAATATATACACAACATTATAAATTATAATTATAATTTATTGCACGTCATATATTATACTACTATAATGATAATGTCTACTTTTTATTTGTTTTATACTTAAACATTCAGAATTTGTTAATTTAAATAATTAAGTATTCAATATAGTTACTAAGAATTGTTCTAAACACTCAAAATTAGGTGCTTGATCAGCGTTTCCCAAAATGTGTTCCACGGAACCTAGGGTTTCATGGAACAATCTCAAGGATTCCACCAGATGTATATGTGATTATTGAGAAAATTATTTTTTATAAAACTTGAAAAAAGTATCATAAAACATTTTTTTTCATTGAAATTTTTTTTTTTTTTAACTAATTCTATTAGACAATAATTATTTTTTTTTTTTAGAAAATTTGGAGATGAGCTGAAATTCAAAATATTGGGGTTCCGCGAAACACAAACTATTTCTTAAGGATTTGACATCAGATGACGACCTTGACGATCGTATAAGATTGGGAACCGCTGATCTAGATCAAATTTTATTTTAAATTTTATTCTACGATTTTTTCAGGTATCGAAATCCCCGACACAACAATTTTATAAATTAAAAAAAATTCTGTAAAAATTGTTACAAAAACGATAAAATGAACTATGGTACATTTAATGTCAAAAAGAATTTTTAATTTCGAACACTGTCGTGCCAGAAAAAACGTAACTCATCATCGTTGATTAATAACATGACATGATAAACTTGCATATACTTAACAAATAATATACCATCGCATCAGCATCAATAATTTTCCGTAAATCCAAATTTATAAATATTTAATAACCGTGAACAACACATTTTAAAAGAAAATTACGGAGATGTTGAAAATACATGCACGCAGTTATACAAATCATCGTTAAGTGCGCAGAATTTCTAGCGGAAGCTTTATTTCTACCCGTTTTTGCAGACGAAATCGAAAAGTAAAGTTTCGCGAAAACATCATTAACCGATAGTAAAGGTAATAAAACGAGTTTGAATGTTTCAAAATGGGTCGATTATTTTTTCCGTTTTACCGCACAACGATGTGTCAATCCGCAGGACGACGACGCCCCGTGGTACGGATAACTGAAAACGGTCCTACCACATTTCGTTAACGAAAGCCGCCTGTACAATACGCGTAAAATATATTTATCATAATTTATGCTTTAACATCGAGATCCTAGACCTATAACGTGAGGGGGGTACAAGTACAGTTGACTCCATGTAATATTTTAATATTTGTCACAGTCATGCCGTATTTTACTCGCTGAATTGGATTTACTGCGCGCTTATTCGCTCTCGATTTTACTCGCTTTGTTTTTTTCATATCACGTTAAATATTGTATTATTTTAACGATGTATAGTCAGTATTATTTTTTAGGATTTACATTTTTTTTTCTCCGCAGACGCTTAAACTTTTGATTTTGACCGAAATCGGAGTTACCGCTTAGTGCGGCTTAACACGACGGCAACAGCTATACAACGTCCCACAGCCACTTAAACAGCAATAATTGTCTCGTATACTTAGCAGTATTATTTTACTGCTGCGGCCGACTGTGTGCAGAGCGTGGTGTGACGACGACGACGACGACGCCGGGCCGTATGGTTTGCGCGCACCACTAATTACATATAACACGTCGGCGTGATGTATGACGAAAACGGGAGGAGGGGGTGGTTTGATGGCCAGCGTTCGGGGGACACGCGATCGGGATGGGGTTGTGTGGAGGGAATTGTGGAGTTGTGCAGGGGTGATGGTGGTGAGGGCTACTAACTGCTGTAACAACATAATAGCGCGAACATAATATATATATATATATATATGTATATATAAACTTATATATATATACATAGCCGCAGTGCGGATAACATGCTTTACTGTTTACTGTCATTCGCCGTGTGGGTGGCGTGTGGTCGTACGACTATATAGCACCAGCAATAAATATATATATATATATATGCATATGTGTGCATAGGTATTATGGGTTGTGGGTATGTACATAATAATATTTATTATACGACCACCGATGCTAATAAATAAAACACGCTGCCGTACACAATAAGCCACCCCGTAAATAGTAATAATAGCGATAACGACGACGACGGACCGCCGCCGCCGCGCGCCCAACTCGACAGTCGTAAATAACGCCGCTGTCCGCCCGTCCGTCTACGCGGTGACTTCTGACGAATTAAATGTCCTCCCCCGCCGCCGCCGCAAGTGCTGCACCACGACAACAGCGTACCGGTAGCGATAAAAATATATCACCTCGCCGCACGCAGTTGCGCGGGCCTTGGTTGTGGGGGAGGGAGGGGGGAGGCGGTCGGGATCAGAGCCCGCGATAAAGTGCTGCGGCGACTCGTCCGTTTATCGCGGCGTACACTCGCGCGCCAACCTACTCCCGCGATAACACCAAGACGGCAAGACGGCGTGTACACGGGCACACGTATGCCTATGACAATAATATTGTATACTGTTATGATGTACGCTGTCCGTACGCGCGTCCTGTTCGCGGTGAACACCGTCGTCCCGTGGCATTATAATAATAAACGCCGCAGCCGCGTGCGTGTGCCGTTTCAAACGATCGCGCGCTGCACGCCGCGATAACCGTACGGCGGCGGCGGCGGCTCGTTGCCTGGGGAGCACTCGCCGCACCGAACTATAACGCTTACGGCCTTGACGGCCCTCGCTGTATATCGCGTATATCGCGCGTTGCCTGTATGATGACGCTGGTGTGTGTGCGTTGGTGCATATAGGTGAGAGCGTACGGCCGGCGAGCGACCGACCGACCGACCGACCGACCGAACGACCGACCGACCGACCGATCGAGGGATGTCGGTTAACAGCGAGCCGTTGTGCGGCGCGACGACCGACGGTGATAATCGCGCGCGCGCGCGCTAGCGTCGGCGGCATATAGCGTGTGTCGGGCGAGACCGTACCGGCAAAACGAAGCGCCTGAACGGGGGGGCGCGCGCCACGGAATACAACGCGAATCGATCGCGAGCGGGCCGCGAGCGCTTGCGCTCGGGTCATTAGGTTTACGCGTTGCAACTGTACAGCATACACTGTACATACAATATAAACTATACACGGCGACGGGGTACGGTGACGGCGGTGGCGGTGGTGGTGACGGCGACGGAGCACGATGACGGTCGCGGCGCGTTTTGATAAAAATAAAAATAAAAAATAAAATAAAACACTCGACCGAGCGAAAACCGCCGCCGCCACCGCCGCGGTGCTATACATTGGCTGCAGTTCGCCGAGTCGCCGCCGCGCACAGTCATTCTTCAGTTTAGCTGCTTGTCGCGAGTCGGCCGGGTGTCTGGTGGTCGCTACTGCCGAAATCCGCGATAGCACGCGTTCACGACTACATTGGTGGCTACTGTGTGTGTGTGTGTGCATTCACGTACGCGTGAGAGGGTTGTGCGTATGCGCGTGCGGTCACCGGTGTATAGACGCGAACACAACAGTAACGTACCGGAGGTGCACGCCGCAGCGCGTGAACGGACGCGACTTCCGCTAGTATACACACGTAAAAACAAATGAGGAAAGAAATTAAAAAATTCAAATAATATTATAAACGGGGAATAAAAAATAGATAAATAAAAGTGCACGTGTAAATCGAGTCGATTTCCGCGGTGGTGGTTCGTCGTCTCGGCTGTACTGCCGAAATAGAAAATAATAAGCGGCTATTTCGCCGTCTGGTCTCGGTGGCTGGGTGATACGACGGCAACGGCCGTGCACACGCCGCTCTGACATTTCGGTGTGCCGGCGACGATCTGAGACGACGACGACAGTACAATAGTGGCGACTGCGACGGCGTGTAAGGCGACGCGTGAGTATGCTATTTATACGAGAACAACTGGACCGGCGGCGCTGCCGGTGATACTGTCATTCCACCGCACAGCATGGCCTCGGTCGCCGCTTGGCTGCCGTTCGCCCGGGCGGCGGCCATCGGTTGGGTGCCGATCGCCACGCACCCACTGCCGCCGCCGCCGGTGCCCAAAGACCGGCGGAGAATTGACGACGAGAAGCTACTGATCAACGTCTCGGGGCGCCGGTTCGAGACATGGCGGAACACGGTGGAAAAGTACCCGGACACGTTGCTGGGGTCCAACGAGCGGGAGTTCTTCTACGACGAGGACTGCAAGGAGTACTTTTTCGACCGGGACCCGGACATATTCCGGCACATACTCAACTACTACCGCACCGGTAAGCTGCACTACCCGAAGCACGAGTGCCTGACCAGCTACGACGAGGAGCTGGCGTTCTTCGGCATACTGCCGGACGTCATCGGCGACTGCTGTTACGAGGACTACCGGGACCGGAAGCGCGAGAACGCCGAGCGGCTGATGGACGACAAGCTGTCGGAGAGCGGCGACCAGAACCTGCCGCAGCTCACCAACATCCGGCAGAAGATGTGGCGGGCGTTCGGCAACCCGCACACGTCCACCGCGGCGCTCGTCTTCTACTACGTCACCGGTTTCTTCATCGCCGTGTCCGTCATGGCCAACGTGGTGGAGACGGTGCCGTGCGGCCACCGGCCCGGCCGCGTGGGCACGCTGCCGTGCGGCGAACGCTACAAGATCGTGTTCTTCTGCCTGGACACGGCGTGCGTGATGATCTTCACCACCGAGTATCTGTTGCGGCTGTTCGCCGCCCCGGACCGGTGCAAGTTCATGCGCAGCGTCATGAGCATCATCGACGTGGTGGCCATCCTGCCGTACTACATCGGCCTGGGCATCACCGACAACGACGACGTGTCCGGCGCCTTCGTCACGCTCCGCGTGTTCAGGGTGTTCCGGATATTCAAGTTCTCCCGGCACTCGCAGGGACTCCGCATACTCGGCTACACGCTCAAGTCGTGCGCCTCCGAACTCGGGTTCTTGGTGTTCTCCCTGGCCATGGCCATCATCATATTCGCCACGGTAATGTTTTACGCCGAAAAGAATGTGGACGGCACGAACTTCACGTCCATACCGGCCGCCTTTTGGTACACCATCGTCACCATGACCACGTTGGGGTAAGCGCGCTTAATCAGTCCAGTGTGGACGACCTGTGTGCACGATGTGTCATACGTGTCCTGTGCGTGTGTCTGTGTGTTTGTGTGTCTGTGTCTGTGTGTGTGGGATCAACTCCAAACCGATCCTGAACGAATCATATAAACACTATCATATGTTATGATAATATTATAATATACGTGTATACAATATATTGTGCGATATATGATTAAGTTTTCAGCAAATAATGAAAAAAAAAAAAAAAAGGTTAAAAATACTCAAAGAGAACACCACGTTGTGATGATATTACTTACTGTGTTGTACTTCGCTAATAATAAAAATATTGACCCGTCTGAAACGATAAACGGACGCATAATATGAACGTAACTATATGTAGTCAAAATGCACGTTCGAAGTGCCTGATGTATATATAGACGGTTCAACAGTTTTACCGCGGTGGTTTTGATTTGATTCTTAATCGTTGAAAACCCTCGCTCTTATTAAAGCGGTATTTTTAAAATATTTTTACGAGTAAGACGAAATTTTTAACAATTTTTCGTCACAAAAATTGCTCCCGGCTTAAACTGCATTTGTCATAGCGATATTAGTTCGTTTAAACGACCTAAAAACGTTTTACACTGCAAGCAGCAGGTGAGTCTATAAGCTATCCCACATCATTGAAATCCCTTTAAGACGTATTAGTGAGACCTGTTCTCGAGTACGGTCTGTTGTTTAGATTTTCATACGAATGCCGACTCGCACGGGTTGAAGAGGGTTGTACACATGTGTCTACGATTTGCAGTCACATCCTGAAAGTCAACTGTTCGCCTTGCGAAGATTTCCTGTTCTTCTTCAGCTCATTTTCATTATAAACGTCCATCCAAGTTTTTTCAAAATATAAATTTTTTCTGGAATTGTAGGATCTAAGATTTCTTTCCATTAACTATGAATGAAATAAATCCATTGATTTTACATAAATAACTTGTGTATAAGTATTAAATTATTGTTACCTTGTGTGTATGAAGTGCAATTAATAATATTATGAATATCAAACAAATAACAGTACGACGAACAAAGTGTGTTTATATTTAGACACAAGGTATTACGTTTCAATAGTGAAAATTTTAATTTAATAACTAATGTTATTATTGTAAGGACAATAATAATTAATTAATAAAAACACTGAAAAATATTATTATTATTATTATTATTACTATTATTAATTAAACCTAACTAAATTACAATCAAGCATTCGAGTTAAAAATTAAACAAAGTTTTAAAATTAAATCATAAAAATAGTTTTTTTTTATTATAACATAAGTGTCTTACGTAAATCATGGACATATATTACTATGTTTGAAGACTTAAAATGTGTAACTTATATATTAGCATACAATTTGTATGTTTGTGCACGCACGTGTGTGTGTATTGATTTTATTGCTCGATAAATCTGTTAATGTGTTTTATAACAATCATAGACGCTACTTTGGAATCGGGCCATTGGTTCAACGATATTCCTAAAGCCAACTGTATTATTAGTATTTCATAAGTCTATAATATATACAGTTATAAACTCAAATTCTTTATTTTATTAGGTATTTTCGTTTTTTATACTGTTTCATACAATTATAATTTAAATTTAGAAATTTCAAATAAATTTAATGAATAGTCGATTTATTATACTATACATAGTTAGGTACTTGGTTTTATAAATAGGTATAATTAATTTTTTTATTATTTAAACAAGTAACTATTGTGATAAATTAGATATGAGTAATTAACTCATTAAAAGTATAATATAAATCATATATATTTGATATTGCAATAAATTGCACATCCCCATTATCCTATTCCACAACCTATTAACCCTATTACACCGATTAGTTTTTAGAGCGGATTGTTAAATATTACACAGCATTAAATACAAACTTTGCTATGTGATTTTGAAAATGGTGAAATATTTATTATATATTGTTGCAAAAGTAATAAAAATACACAGCGTAATTATTATTATTATGAATACATTTCCTGTTCATTAACCATAGTTATTAAAATTTGACATTTAAAATAAAATAATGTTTTATTATTTGAATTTTTGATTTACAAGAAGACTATATACAATTCACAAATTTATATTATTCCTACTTATAAACTATAGCAATTTAAAACTCAGCTAAATTTACTCTACTCTTAATAATTTTTATAATTCAATATCATCCTAATAAATAATCATACAAATTGCAAATTAGATATTACGTACAATATAATACACAGGTAGATATAGTAGCAAACATCACATCCTTCTCCATATAAATAAAAATAATGTACTTATTAAAACTGTATTTATTTCTATTAAACATAGCTGGTTTTATTTTCTTCGGCGATTTGCTTATTTGAAAAATAGGGTAGTGGAATTTCCAATATCTCAACATTTTAAATTAGTCCTTACAGGACAAAGTGTTTGATACTTACACATCATAACGTAGTTAAGCTGTTATAATAGAAAATTCCATACTAAAATTTGTTGTATACTTCTATGTGTTAACCGCATAACTTAGGTGTAAAATAGGAAAATTGCTACGACAAAATATGTGAAATTCGTGCTAACATTAAACTGTATTAACAAAAAAACATATGAAAAAAACGTATTGCCAAAACGTTCTCAAAAAAAATTTTTTTTAATATTACAACAAACCGTATTATAAGTATTTTAATAATATATTTTTTAAATTAGCAATAATAATATTTATAAAAAAAATATAGAATAACATTTTTGTAAGATGTATATCATATCAGCTATTATTTACATAATGTAAATTCCCTACATTTTAATTCACTTCCCAGCTTAATAAATTATAAAAGGTATAAGTACATGGCTTATAATTAAAATTTTTAAAACTATGGAAATTGATATTACTAAAATTATACTCATATAATATAGTAAAGCAATCGCTAAAAATAATAAAATATTATAATATTAAAATGTTTTATATAATATTAAAAATTCGTATTTATCAATCATTAATAATATAATAATATGCATTTGTTAAATATTTTAATATATATTTAGTATACAATTTAAATAATAGAATACGAATATATAAACAAAAAATGAAAATAATACTTTTTAGTGTTATACATTATGTAGGTACTATTGAATAGCAAATTAATGACAAAAAAAAAAAAAAAAAAATTAAAACAAAATTTATAATACTTAAGTAGGTACTGCAATAAAATTTATAATTCCCAATTGAAAATGTTTTTACTAACAAGTAGATGCTCACTGGCTATGTGATTTTATTAAAATAAAAAGGTTCATAAAAACTAATCGAAAAAGAAATGAAAAATTAATTCAATTATAAAAACTTATTTAACGAAAAAAAAAATTACCTGTTAGTTTTAAAATTAATATGAAACATACAATTTAAATACATACATTAATATTCGTACATTAATTAAAAATTTCAAATTTAATCAGGTAAACTTAGCAAATAGTTATCACTTGAAATCAGGTTATGAAAGTTTTATGGAATTTTGCCTATTACGATTAAAGCGATTTGCTGTTCACTTGTTACTATTTTCAACAATGTCCATAACAAAGTTATTTGAAAGTTTTGTTAGAAACTTCTATACACCAAAATCACCCTTAATATCGACCTAAATAATTTACTTAGGTCTCGTATTACCGGTACTTTTTTTTATTATAAAAGACATTTACAGAACCTATTTATTAAATAAGATTATAGTAGCTATGTATTCGTTTTCGAAGAGTGTGGTATCTTATTTCGATGAAAAAAAAAAAATAATTGTATTTAATATGGTACATCGTATTTGGTAATTGGCATCATTACAAAAACTGAAACCTCAAATGGTTTTCTATAGTGTGTATTACCTACATTAATTACATTTTTATTTAAAAAAGGCGATCGTGTATAATACGTATTAATACCTATAATTGTGAATTGTATGAGCCCTTGAAAATTTAATACAAGGTTTCTTAAAAATTCAATTATTAAAAGAAAAAAAATTGAACGTGAATCCTTAAAAAAATTAAATTTTTTATAAGTGTTTAAAATTAGAATTTTAACAAATTTCATCAAAATTTCGAAAATTAGTAAATTATTCTTTGATTAAAAATTTATGAAATTTAAAATATTTATACTTACCAAAGATTTCAAAATTTAATACACAACTTTTTATTAGTTTTTCTACCTATATTAAAAATAAAATTTTCAACCAAAAAGTATATAGTATATTTATGAATATTTAAAGTTCAAATTTTCATGACATCAAATATTCATTTAAAAATAACTATTTCACCTTATTTGATTTTTATCATTTTTTGTGATTCAAAAACGAATAACATTAGATAATTAGTAGAAACCTATTTACACTGTTTTATGGTAAGGTTTTATTAATTAAAAAGTTAAAATCATATATAAAATCATATTATTTACTATATTAATTTAATAAATACATGATAATATTACATAATAAATACAATATATTTGAAAAAAATTAAATCAACGCATCGTAATGCTAATTGTAAAATTAATTAATTTAGTTAAAAAATCAAAAACTTTATCATGAAATGTACTTGGTTATATAGTTGACAAATCAATTCCGTTAAAAATCGTTTTTTGTGTTTTATAATAGACCATTAAATTAAAATTTAACACATCCATTACAATGACTTATTTGACACCTACTGTACGGTAAAGTGGTACTCACTTGCCCACCTTTTTTAGCTTTATACTAGTTATTATAGTAAAAAGTAATTATAATATAATTATCAATTATTAATTAAAATGTACCTTTAATGTATTTTATTCAAATTAAAATACTAATTTACATTTATAACTGTTCAATAAATTAAATTGAAAAGTATATAGCTTTTACAAATATTTCAAGTTAGATGATGTAAAAAATAAAGTAAAATCAACTAAAATATATCTTTAAATGCAAATTAAATTATGATATCGTAATTGAATTAATTTAAATTAAACATCTATTTATATAAGAA